AACAGTTGTCCACGTGGGCCAACGGTGAGCCATCGTGTTCGGCTCATCTCTATTTTGGGATCCTTAGGGCATACAATTATCTGAAAAGTAGGAAAATGGGATTTTTTAACTCCTACGAAGATAAATGACAAACGTCTAATTTCTTGAAGCCGTTGGCAATGTCGAAAACATGAACGGAACGACCTTTCGATTGCATTATACTTACGTACCTGAAAAGAGTATATTTGCTGATAATTGATTTTATCGATTAGTATCCGGTATAAATGACCCACATCACATCGCTTTTCTCATCGATAGCTACCGAACTAGCGGATGAGTTCTTAACAAGAACATGTTCTTTGATTTTTCCCTCCACATCGGTAATATAAACTCCTAAAAAGATTCTCGATCGATGCAAAAAATAATAATATCAAAATTGAATTTTGTACCTCCGCAACTGTCCGACACAGCCAGGTGATTTTGTAGAGTTTTTGTGCTAAACGCTTGTACACATATGGGTCGTGTGAGAAAACCTTTGCCAAAGGCTCGAATACGTTCAGAGGATTTATTAGCAGCAGCATTGTTCGGAAGAATCGTGGCTGAACTGCCTTCGGTAGCCGAACCGTTAATGTTCAGCGGAGTTGGTGTGACAGCTTGAGAGGTGGATGACTGAAAATAACAACAATAAAATACAATAAAAAAATCAAATTATTAGAAATAAACATTTTATTAAGAATATGATACACTCACGACAATCGCAAATGCAAATAAACATGTTAAAAAATGAGGGAATTGGAGACGCAGAAAATGCAACAGTCAGCCCACTGTTGCGGCGCGGTCGTGAGTCGACGCTTCAAGAGAGAGCATGCAGAAGTGAGATGCACAGACGGCTAGACAGCGATACCACAATAATGCACTGCATGTTTTCTGGGATGAGAAGCAATATTAAAGAGTGATAAGAAGCAATAATAACGGGATGTGCAGTGTAAAAACTGAAAAAAACGTCTCATATTTTTTGAGATAACAAATCAAGAACTAGAACTTTAGCAAGAAAAGGATTAATACGACAATTTTAGTTCAACCATTATGTGAAAGGAGTATGAATGGGTTAGAGTCGCGGAAAGTGCAAAAGTCACGTCGAATGCGGCGCGGTTGTGCGCTGACGCTTATAGCAAACAGAGCACGCAGAAGTGAGATACGCAGACAGTTAAACATGACGCCGAAATGACGCAGAGCATACAGATTGCGCATGGATAGTGGCAATTTTGGTGGATCCGGATCAAAATTTGTCGAAGAATTTTCTGCTGTTCAAAGAAGTGGTAAATAAAAATTTTACAGATTGGCGGGCAAAATGCCAAAATAGCAAAATGAAAAATGTTTTAGACCAAAAACTTACCCCTGCACTTCCTAGTGATTGATCGCAAGGGTATGCTGGTATAGAAGACATCACCGAACCAGGTTTCGACTCCACGCTCGTATGTGATGGTGCTGGCGATCTGAAAATGTCGTCAATTAGAAATTCATGAAAGTTTTTTAAAGCAGAGTAGGAAAGATGACTTCATTAGCTGGGAAAAATGAGAAGAGGACTCTGCTGATGTAGGCGAGCAATAGCTTGATTATTTTTACTAATGAGATCATTTGCAGGTGAAAAAAGATGTTCATCAAAGCAGTAGCTTAGCAGTGCAATGCATTTGAAATCG